CCCTACATGAAGATAGTTTGCTATTGTCTCAGTAAACATCAGCTTTCCTGTACTTCTATTTTCTCTTTAGAATTCCCTTCCAAGAAAGCCTTTCTACCAGTTCCTTGAATTTGCTTTTCTGAAGACCACTGTTCTTATTCTGCTTTTCTCCTTCCAATATTTTCTAACAATAATGAACTCTATCATTTTGTGATCACTTTCATCCAAATTACCTCTCACCTTTAGATTTTCAGCTAGTTTCTCCCTGCCCTTCTGACATCAGATTTAATAATCTATTATATACTAGAACTGAAGCTTAGAAGAATGTTTTCTCCTGACTCCATTCCATGACATGATGCACTTGAACAATCAAAATTAGCACTTCAAGAAGCCAGAGAGAGAGTGAGCTTCTACAGTACAATATCTTAAAAGGTAACAGTATGCCTATGTAACAATTGTAAATATACAATTTCTAAACTGTATCTCAGTTATTACATCTGCAGAATAACAAGAGCGTAAAGCGTACTTTTACATGTGCTCTGATACATTCTGATTAGATTCTCGAGTCTGCTGGAGCGTTCTAATCAGAACACTCCAGCATACTGCAGTGTCTTTTATTCAGCATTCCCACATTTCAAAATGGCAGAGGGGGTGGTTTAACTAAAGCTTGTTGAATACTAAATACACAAGATGCTGAAGGCTCCGGAGAGTTACTAATTAATGCATCCCCCCCCACCCCAACCCCAGAGCGTGTGTACAGGTACCCAAAGCAATTTCCAAACATCATAAGCTAACCTTAAAAATAAAAATGCCTCGGCCCTCAAAAAGATAGGATGACTAGTCACATTCCCTAAAACACATTTCTTTATACTGAACATGTTGATGATCACTACCATGCTGTAGAATGCTCCTTCTATAGGAAACTTCCACTTTCTAATATTTCACATTTCAAACTAGTAGATGGTCATCTAGCACTTTGCTGCTGCTGTTGTTTGCATCTCCCTTCGTTTCAGTTGGTAAGCATTCTTGTAGTGTTTTCTCCTATCTCTTCTCATTAAGAAGGTGACATATTTTCACACTACCCAGCACTGTTTAATAAATAAAACAATATTTTAAGATTTTAGGCTGGTTTAATTTCATGCAGAGGTCAAAGTACTAAAATATGAATTTACTCTTAATGAAATCACTACTTATACCATTGTCTGGTAGGTCTAAACTTTATACAACAGACACGTTCAGGAAAATATCCTATTCTTCCAAGACAGACAGTTCTTCATGTATTTATCATGACAAGGCTTCTAGAGGGAAAGGTTACTAAAACTTTGTCCTAGCTTTTCTGAGAGGTTTATAGCTTATTATAGGGTTATGTCCTTGGAGTATTTAAATGTATTTCCTTCTCTTTTAGTCATCAGTGCCTCCTTCCACTTTTGACTTGGAGGTTGTCTCCATTTTTAAAAACACACGAAGACTGCTCTTTAGCGAGAGGGGATATTAATTTGTTAAATATGACATATATTATGACATATACATATAGAGTATCCACAGTATATGGGACCAAGTGAATCAAAATCAGCCTTGGAACTACCCAGGAGGGGACAGAACAGTACCAGAACAATTTTCTTAAAATACAGTTTTAGGAAGATTAAGACAAAATTAGATTAACAAGAGTGAAATAGCATGATCTCCATTTTATATCAAGTGGGATTACTTCTACAGCAATTGCAAACCTAAGATATTTGCCTTCATTAACACCAAAATTAATTAATAAACTATGTTTATTTTAAAATACTATATTTTTAACATAAAGTTATCAAATTTAAAACATTAAAAAGGACAAATGTATACAAGTAAGGCACCCTGCCAAAGTTTACATACATATCACTAGAACAAGAATGATCAGTACTTTAGTAAACCTTTTTTTCACCACATTAACTACTGTCATGTGGATTACTTTTACTTCATACAAGCATGTCATGAGTCAAAATGTTCAAATTTTATCTTTAGCATTTCTATTCCCTTTAAAGAGTTTTAAAACCTAGAATATCCTATTTGTAATGTGTTTCTCAGGCCATAACAAAGAAGTATACTGTACCTCTGGTGCTGATGGCTGTTGCCGATGGGGCTGTGCTGGTTGTTAAGGCTACAGTGGTTGTGACTGTTGCAGTGGTAAGGGAGGGGATGACAGTGATGGGAAGCAAAGTGTTGGAAACATCTGGTGAGTGGAAAAAAATATAAAATAAAATCATATCATGCTAACAAAGGAGAAGCATAACAATGGTTCAAATTGTAAATACAAGTATGTAGAAAAAATGTATAAATTAAAACATGATTAACACAGATTATTACAGGGACAACACTGTACCTGTACTTGAAATTCTTGACCTTATATCACTCTCTGCTTTTATAATCAAACTTTCAGGGGCCAGAATGTAAAACATTGTTAAAATGATAAAGTTTCCAAGGATCAGAAGAGTGAATATTTAAGTGACAAGAATCCATTTCTTCACTGAGCCATTTTAAATGTCTCATATAATAGAAACCAAATATAGATGAAACATGCTGTGTCAGAGTGGGAGATGAAAAAAAAACGCTAAAATAAACAGACACGTGTTAACGAGAAATGGCTGTATGTTAAACACACCCACTTTCAGACAGACTCGATGGAAGGAAAAAGGGGAAAATTGCTACTAACTCTAAAAGCTGCTTTTTTCAGTTTGCTTGTCTTCTTCCCACACATTTAAGACAGTTGTCTGCTGTGATTCAGAGCAGAATACATTTCAAAATCCTTACCTTAATCAGCTGGCAAAGATGTATTTTTTAATCATCGTTCATATCCATAAGTATCTAATAACCCCTACTATATTTCATTTGGAACCCAACATTTGGGAAATTCATTAATTTTATTTCTACATGGGTGTGCAGAAGTCAGAAGGGGTGCAAAATAAGCTTACAAAATCTCTGTCTCTATGTAAATACTGTAAATGCCACTCTACAGTACCAATGCAATATCAACCCATAACCAAAATTCTTTGAAGGGAAGGTTTTAAATAAATGGAAGGCAATAAATGGATGTAGCAAAAGTATTTGGATCTGCACTGCCTAATCAATAAAGATCAGGGTTCTTGGTCTACAAACAGACTGTAAATAAGAAAAAAGGAAGAAAAAGTGAGAGAAACACTTTAATAAGGAACTTAAAAGCATCTGGCACAGATCACCTACACCACACTTTTGATACCCTTATGGTGAACAATATCCATGTTCCATACACAGCATGACTGAGTTCACTGGGGTCGCTTTTGAAGCAAGATGTAACCCAGTGTAGTTAAGAGATCAGAAACTGGCCCACAGTCTGTCTTGTCATGTTGCTGAAAGAGATTTAACTGATGATAATTGTCACTGAACATCATCACTTCCTAGTAAAGTCATTGGGAACTGAGGCAGCTCAACTTTTCATAGCTTTGGGCCCTAAGGGAGAGACAGTTCAAGAACAGGTTTCTTAAGTTCAGCATTGACTAATTATCATCCTTAGTTTTGATTTAATGTGCTTGCATTGTTTTCAGGCTGGATGACAGATTGTTTTGCCATTTAAAAATGTTTCCCTGTCATTCTGTCAGTTAACACCTATGAGTCACCCAAACTTTTCTCTGTTCATCTGCCTACGATGTAGAGCACCATTATTTTTTGCAGAATCTATACTTGCAGAATTTTCCACTTCAGAAGCTATCAGATAACTGCATGAGATCACCCTTTCATCTTTTGTGCACTGATGTTTACACCTGTTCTCCAGTAGGAAATATTCCCGAGCTAGCAAAATTAAGACAGGCTTTTCAAAAAGACAGTGTAGTCACATTAGTCATTAAGAAAAAAATTGTAATACTGCCTGGAGTGCGACTGTCATGATAATTAAACAAAACTAATTTTAACGAGCATTATAAATGAATGAACATGCTAAAAAAATACATGCTTTGATTAATACAATTATTTCCCCCCAAAAGAAACTTCTTTTTAGAAAAGCATTTTGGGAAAAAAATCATATCAAATAGGATAAAAAAAATGCATAATGTATAGAGTTAGTGCAAAGAATGATATATTGAAAAAATGCTGCATTTCATTCTCGAGTCTGCACCTTCCACCTTATACACCTTCCACCTTATACATAGAAGTTACAAAACTTACACTTGCTGTGGTATCATATCTAAATACTACAGGATGTAGTAAATGGCAATAGCTAACTTTTGTCAATTGCATTTATACTTTTCTAACAAACTTGTTCACAATGTTCCTACATTGCTCTATTGAGATTACCATGTACTATTTGTTACCCATGGATTCAGGAGTCCTTCATATGTTAGTTCCTCCTACCGTCTGAAAATGTCCTGTCAATCTTTCAGATTTAAAAAGTACATCCTTCTTATATCCTAACTACATAACTAATGCTTGTTACTTAACACTAGGACACTTCAATGTTACAATATTGATGGAATAAGGTTAATAAAAAAATATTAACTATAAGGTTAATAGCTGCTGATCCCATAGAGAAAAAACCCTAAACTTTAGACTATTAAAAAATTAGTGTCCAGAACAAGAATATCCAGGCTTTAAGACACCAAACACCAGACTAAAAACTCAAATTAATGTATCAATTCATAAAGTAAAAATAAATACACAACGTTGACTTATTCTTGCTTTTTCTTATAACAAAATAAATCAACAGTTGATCAGCTTTGCCCATTCTTTGCAGTTACTGGAAGAATGCAACTCATATGCTGAATTAGCGACCAGGAACGAGACTGGATGAAGAGAAGATATGTTATTTTTTAACAGAAATACTCAGGTACATCTCAATCTTCTCAAGATTCTAGAAACATCTAGGTCTTGCTAATGATGTTCACCAGCTTTGCATGGTATTGTCACTTATTTAGTACATCAACGCTCATATTGCACAGTGAGGATACATCTAAAATATCTGAGGACCCCACTAGGGGGTGACCTGAGAGAGCTTTGCACTTTATACCCATCTTAGGGTGTATGGAGTGGGTGGGGTGTGTTTCACTATATTCCCCGAGCATGGTTCTCTGACATGATATACATGTTTTCATTTTCATATTAGAAACTAAATATCATTTTTTATAGAAATTGAAAATGACTCATTTGAAAATTCTGTAGGCTGCATTTTGTCCTCAAATCACAGCATAGCTGTGATGAAGAATAACATTTTCAGAAGTATCTCAGTCCTAAATTCAGTTTACTCTCAAGTAAGCTACTCTAAAATAAATGCTCCTGGACATGTATCTACACAAGCAGGGATGCAGAAGCATATTTGCTGCTCCTAGAGGCAGACTGCTCCCACTCCCTATGGCCATGCAACTGTCTCTTGCAGCAGCCAGGGGGAGCTCTAGGCTCTTCCTGGGCACTAGCCCAGGGACCAGGAGACAGCTGCCTCCTGGCAGGGGCTGGGACATTGCCCCTGCCCCCAGAAGCTGCCTGTTGCCAGGCATGCTCTGCCACCAGAGCCTGGGTGGAGACAATGTCCTTCTGCCCCAGCAGCAAGGAGCTCCCAGCCCCAACACTGATCGCAGGGATGGAAGATCCTTATCTACCAGCCTGAGCCCGGTGGTTGCAGGACTCAGGCTGGGAAATCCTTATCTCTCAGCACCAGCTCTGCGGTCACGGAGCCGGCGCAGGGAGATCCTTATCTCCCACCACTATCTCTGAGACTGCAGAGCTAGCCCTGTGACCACAGGCAAGGATCACATAGCCCATCCTGGCAGCAAACAGCTCCTGGGGCAGGGAGTAATCTCCTGCCTGCTGCTGCCCAGGGGCACATTTGCTCCCAGTCAGACATCTACACATGCACTACTGCAGTTACAAATCATGAGTAAATTTAATACTTATATTTGCAGGTAGCAAATTTACTCATGATTACAGCCAACTACTGTGCAGTAAGTGTTTGCACGTGTAGACGAGGACGCTTACTATGCAGTAACTAGCTCTATTGCTCAGTAAAGTGTTTCATGTAGACATACTCAGTGTGTTTTTAACTTGATACATTGAAGTCTATTGCTTTACATGTAGGCAACAGGAACAGCATTTTATGGTTTCTGGTTCTGGAGGACTAACTTGTGATTTTTTTTTAATTTTAGGACACAAATATGTTACTTAATTTCTCATAACATTAAAAGCTACCTATTTACATCTATGTAGACACATTAAATCTTAGAGTTACACTATAAAAGGGATTAGATAGCACTGTCCTATTCTTTTGTCAGCAAATATCTTAATAGAATAGTTTTGTGTCTCTCTCTTGAGCAAAAGAGTGTTTGAGTTAGACGTTCCTCAACTTCCTGACCCTGGAATTTTCTAGCAAGAGGTACAGAAGGCCTTCTTGTTCAAGCAATAATATGATTTTGTTGTCGTTGTTATAAATCTCACGCCGGGGTCATTATGACCATCTCAGGTTACAGAGTTTGGGAACAACTTTTAACCAAGAATCATGTCTGAGGGCCAGGGTAGTAGAGTGGTTAAGATGCCTTGCTACAGTTCCAGAAGTTTGAGTTTGAACCTCATTCTGTTCCTATACAACCCTGGTATAAAGAAGTCATTCAGGCTGGGAGTCACAGGCCACATGCAGACATATGTGATTTATGGCACCACAAACCTCTTTTGTGGTGTCACAAATTGCACACATTGCATGTTAAACCATGTATGGCACTGCTAATTTGTAGCATGGGGACAAAATTTGCTACCAGGATTTCCCAGTAGCAAAAAAGAACCGTGGGGAAAAAAGCAGCACATAGCACATGAAAATAGTGTGCACCAGGACAAACACAGAGACAGGGGAGTAGGTAGCCCAGGAAGTGGAGTGGCTTTCTGGAGCACAGTGTACCTCAAGACAGGGGAGCAGAAAACCCTGGGCTGGCTGCTCCCCTGTCTCAGCGGGCTGCTCCCTGGTTGGCTAGAGTGCAGGGTCTGGCTGGGCTATAGCTGGCTGGGCCAGAGCACATGGAGCCTGGCTGGGAGTCAGGAAGAACTGGACATAGGCAGTTTGTCCACCGCAGGACAATACGTCCCATAACAAGGGGCATGTGTAGGGGTGTGTGCTGAAGCACAAGGGAGCAGGATAAATTTGTGCCGCTACTATTTGTGCCACTGCAAGTTCACACCCCTGGTCATCTGGATACAGCCACAGATGGCCAAACATAAATGTTAGTT